CAAGGTGTTGGGAGGAAAGGAAGAATTATATGGAGAGTAGTTAAAGCTTTTGTGTTATGGAAATATGGAAGGAGCGCAATTGTAGATGTTTTGAGGACTGTAGTAGACCTGCTGTTGAATTACAGGAAAAAATTCGAGTTTTTGTTGCTGAATATTTGAATATTCGGCCAGAATGGAAAGGTATTTCAAGATTAAATTTGATGTATAATTTTCATTTAATCATAGAGGATCGTACTATTAAAAAAATACGAATTGGGGTTTGGAAAGTGCCACATGAAGGTTGGTTAAAACTAAACTTCGATAAAAGTTCGTTAGAAAATCCGAGACCTATTAGTGTTGGAGGGATTATTCATGATAGTAATGGTGTTGTGATTAAGAAATTCTTTGGTCCTATTGAAGCGGCTACTTCGAATGAAGCTGAGTCGAAAGCAATGCTTCAAGGTTTGAAGTAGATAAAATGGTTAAATAAACCTATTATTGTGGAAGGGGATTCATTAAATATTGTTAACTGGGTACAGAAGAATGCAGCTCTTCCTTGGAGATTTCATGAACTTATGTGTGTGAAGTTGCTCATGTTTGTAAGAATATGGTTGGAGATTTCATGAACTTATGTGTGTGAAGTTGCTCATGTTTGTAAGAATATGGTTTGTTCTAGTGTTTTAAAAATCGATGAGTCGAACCGTACTCACCCGGTTTTACTTGAAAACCGGCACAGCCCGTGCCGATTCCGATACAAAATCGAGAACCGCCCGGTTCTAGAGAAGAACCGCCGGTTCCAATCCGGTTCGACCCAGTTCTGTCCGGTTCAGCCCGGTTCCCTCCATACACGCGTGCGACACGTACGTGCAAGCGTGCGACACTCATGTGCACACGTGCGACAAGCACGCAGCACGAGTGCGACACACACGTGCACGCGTGCGACAAGTGTGAGGTTACCCCAATATTTCTACACAAACATTTTAATTTATATTACATAGGTATTTATGTACCAAAGTGGAATACCCATCTTTCAATATGGGATAATTCCCAAACATCATTAAATGAAAAGGGAATTTAAATATATTCTATTAAGCATCAAGTTATAACCACATATGGTGAGGTGGTGTGGTGGTTAAGACCTTTGCTTCTTCATGTGATGTCTGAAGGTCCCGTCCCCTCATGGGCGTTATTTTTTGTGTTGATTTGTACGTATTTTATTAATTTTTACATTGATAACCAAATCTTTTATTTTATTATTAATTTTTACATTATAAATCATGTAATGTACTATTTTTATTACAGTTGTCAATAATTCATTTTAAATTAGATAATATTATAAAATATTTTTAATTTGTTATTATTTGTCTAATAAAATAATTATTAAATGTAAACTAATAATTATAATTTCAGTATATAATATTACAATTAGTTAGGTTTTAATAATTTTGGATTATAGTTAGTTAGGCCGTAATAATTTGGATTTTTTTAGCGGATTAGGGCTTTTCACCAAAACGAGATTTTAATGGCCATTCTTTCATTGATTAGTCTACTCTTTATAATAGTCCATGTATAATTATATATTTTATCTTTGATAATTCTATGATTTTTCTTTTATGTGATGCAAATTTAATGGTTAACATAAGTTTAT